TGTACAGGTGAATTCCCCAAAATGCATCATGTGATCGCTGTGACAGCCAACCACTGTGGTTACATAATCTGGAATTCTGCCTCCACTTCCCATCATTCAGAACCCTTTAAATGGTTGGCGGGAGATGGTGGCAATGGGATAAGGATTTTTTAGAGATAATTACTTCACATAACAAGCAGATGGAGAGGTCAGGGATGGCTTGTTTTAAAGCATTTGTATTGCTTGTTAAATCCTAACTCCATGCAAATACTCTTGCTGTGGGGCCTCCCCCACATACTCATATCAGGAATATGAAATATTGCAGTAACATATTTTTCAACCAGTTCCTGCCCAGCCTATAGCAGTTTGACTTTCGTAGTTTCGGGGTGGACGTCATATGACATGATGCCAGAATGAGCCTTGTGCGCAGCCTTGCGGTGGCCCTGCAGGCACGATCTGTCACTGGCCAGCTGACCAATCACAGCAGATCACATGACAATTGTAAACAATGAATGGCTTTGATTCATGACATTCATTGTTACAATTGTATTGTTAGCTGTGATTGGTCACAGTGATCACATGGTACAGACAGGGCCAATTACAGCCCATCTGTACCATGTGATTATCTGTGTCCAATCACACCTAATCACAACAAAACAAACTAAATGAATCAATTTCATTCAGTAAGATGTTTGCTTATAGCAGTGAAATTCACTGCTATAAGCAATCACAATGTGTAAAAAAAATTCTGATAATGTCCCCAGAATTACAATGTTACTATAGTAATATTATATTACTGTGGCCACAGTGTATTAAGAAAAAATCATAAAAAAGAAAAAAAATATAATAAAGAAAAAATATTAGCAGTCAGTGTCCTTGATCACTTCCACACCAATTATATGATGATTCTGTACTGCACTGGTAAATGTAAAAAAAATTTAGATTTTTTTTTTTTTTAATTTCAGCATTTTCCAAAAAAATTACAACTTCAAACAAACTCACCATGCCTCTTACTAAATACCTAGGACTGTCTACTTTCCAGAAAAGGGGTCATTTGGTGGATACCTATACTGTCCTGACATTTTTGGGCCTCAAGAAATTAGATGGGCCATCAGTACATCAGGGTTGATCAATTTTTCGATACATACCATAGTTTGTGGATTCTATAACTTTCCTACATACTAAATAATAAGCACTGATTTGAGTTATTTTCACCAAAGAGATATAATAGAATACATTTTGGCCTACATTTATGAAAAACAATTATTTATTTGTAAAATGTTATAACAGAAATGAAGAAAAATGCATTTTTTTCAAACTTTTTGATCTTTTTTTATTTAGCAAAAAATGTATAACTCAGTGGCGATTAAATACTACCAAAAGAAAGCTATATTTGTGTGAAACAGAAATGAAGAAAAATGCATTTTTTTTTTAACTTTTCGATCTTTTTTTATTTAGCAAAAAAATTTATTTCAGTGGTGATTAAATACTACCAAAAGAAAGCTATATTTGTGTGAAAAACAAAGATAAAAAAATGTGTTTGGGTACAGTGTTGCATGACCGTGTAATTCAAAGTGCGACAGTGCTGAAAGCTGAAAATTGGCCTGGGCAGGGAAGGGGTAAAAGTGCACTGTACTGAAGTGGTTAATGTGGCACAATCCCAAGAGGGAAAACACCATATCCATTATTTTAAAAAACTGGAAGAATACAGGGCAAAGTTCTTCTTGACAAGTCGTTTGCTTACTACAATGATGACCGAAATTTAAGAGGGCATTGATCTTTTCTGGTCCATGCTATCAGCACTGTTTTTCTGGCACCTTCTAGGGCACCCTGCAGTACTTTATCTTGATTAGATTTATTGTGCATGTACAGACTATGTTTTATATAATAACAAGCATAATGATTCATCAGGTTTCTCATACTGCTTCATGAACTTCACATTTAAGTCTTTCATGCTACCTTTCTCTTCAAGGACTTAAAGGCTTAATTCACCTTTTGTATCAACAATTAAGTTTTCATAATGACAATGGCTGACATCACCTATAGGCTTACTATAGGGCATCTGTTAATGGTTGTCCCTCTTCTCCCCTAAAGATGCACCTGAGAGCTGATCATGTGACCAGCCCGAAGTGCCCTGAGAATAGGTAAAATATGTGCATCTTCCTTCTACAGGGTAGCTAGAATAAGAATTAGATGGGGAGAGGGAACAGATTTAAAGTGTTTCTAATCCCACAACAGTAAAATCAGTCTGTATATGCAGTAAATCATGCTTGTTATACTCACTGTGGAATCTAAGGCGGTAATCCTTTGCAATATGTAAAAAGGATGTTTGATCCTGTCTTCTCTGATCCTTCCCTTCTAGTCCCTAATCCATCTGCCGATTGAACAGAGGCTTGGGGGCACGCCGCACATGCTCAGATTAGTGTGTATTGCTAGAGGTTTTTTTTTCTTAGCAGAATGCATGTGATCAGCACAGGACCAATCAGCACTGTCCAGAAAAAGGGTCAGGGGCCCTGCAGCCTCATAGGATATTCAAGGGAGTAGCTGAACCATAACCATGCTTTACCTCTCTTTGTATTGCATTCTCTAAATGTTTCTTTGTGGTTCTCAGTTGTATGTTTTTCACGTGACTTTTTTTTTTTTTCTTTCTCCATGCCTTTGGGCAACATGTTCTCCAATATTTTTGTATATGTATTTACATGTTCTAAGCTTGTTTCTAACTTGGAAAATTAATAAAATGTTTGAACAAGGATAATCAAGGGAGAATGAAAACTCCTCCTACAAGCTTAAACCAGTGCACAGATGGACACTGATAGAAGTCATGACAAAATGTTAAATACTGCTGATGAGAAAAGGTATTTAGCAGTTTATATTTACTACAATAATTGCATTTCCATGTTCCGTGTACTGTGGGAGACCAGATATAGTGAATGCAGGGTCCTGAGATTAGTAACAATTTAAGTTTAGTTAGGAATAGCTTGGAATTCCACTTTACATCAATGGTATAAAGCCATAGCTAAGCAAGCAACTGTTATGGGACCCAAAAATGTCTGACTACACAGTGAATGTTTTTATAGTCTGGGAACTACTACAAAATAGCAATGGAAGCAATTAACATCTTGTATAACTAGAAGAATTGACTTTCAGATAGAGATTAGAGAGATGGGGTTCCCTTAATGGTTTCACACAAAGATACAACCCTGGCTAAAGTGGTTACTTAGATAAAAGAATACAATTTGAAGGTTGCAGGAAAGGGAACCAATGTGCAGGCACTAAGGTCCTATGCACACAGAACACTTCTGAACAATGGAAACTGACTGCTGGAAAACGTTGGTTAAAGAACAGCCACATGTGCGTACTGCGTTTGTGCGCATTTATAAGCGTTTGCATTTAGAATGGTTTTTTAAAGATAACCTCAGGAGACCTTCTAAAATGCCCAGAATGCACTGAAAAACAGTAAAAAATTAACTATTTCAGACATTTTGAGAGAAATAGAGAGAGCAGAAGCAGAGAGAGCAGTATTTGTTGAGATTAGCTGTCTTTTTTTTTTGTGGTGTTTGGATGTGTTCCAGCTCATTTCTATGTCGAAATTATTGCAGCAGTGTCTAACATATTTTCTTTCATGCAAAACCTCAAAGTATGGTGTACCAGGTCCATTTGAGTACCGGGAAAACGCTTTTCATGCATTTTTCATGATAATAAAAGGCTCTGGACAACATTTGGAAATGGAAGAGATAAAAAAAAATTTCAAACGCAAACGCTTATAAACGCAGTTAGCTGCATTTACAAGCATTTGGTGTTTGAAACGCTGATAAAATCTACTCCTGAACGCAAGTTTTCTGTGTTCAAAAAAAACTACTGTAAACTCAACTAAACGACTGTAAACGATGTGTACATGGACACATAGGAAAACATTAGGGAGAGTTCAGGGGCTGCTGAAAAAAATGCTGAACAGCTCCTAAACGTGAGTTTATCAGCTGCAGTGTACATGAGCCCTAAGGCCCTGTTCACACTTGGGACAGTTTTTTGCGCATTTCTTAGCACGTTTTTGGAGGGACATTATTCATTTGAATAGGCCTCCCTCCACTCCAAAACCAAAGAGCTAAAGAAGCTCATGTACCAAACTCCGGACATGAGCCAAGTGTGTTTTGTGTTGTGTGGTTTTTTATCATGTGGAAAACACGCTGCAAAATGCGTGACTGCTACCTGCATTCAGGGTGCTATTAAGAAATAATGGCGTGAACAGGGCCTCCAAGCTGCTTGTTGTACTAGTTTTTTACTTGCTGCTGTTGGTCACGTTTTTAAAGAACAAAGCCTAGCAAACTACTAGCTCCAAAGCTAGGGATAATGATACTGTGTAGCTGGGGAGCTGATACATGAGCCAGTTCTTTGTATAAATTCCACATTTACCGAGTTCCTTGTACTTACAAAATGAACATTAATAACTGTGCCACAGGGAAGAGTCTCACAGATGCACATAAACCTCACGACAAGCGAATATTTTAAAGTAAATGACACAATTCCATTATGTATGCTTTTTCTGCACACAATATATACTGTAGGCATAGGTTTAACACTTTACTGAGCATACCTTACAGAAGAACTTGATTCAAATATTTAAAATATTAAACCCAAAACCAAAAATGTAATGTTATATTGCAGCTTACCAATCATTCGATGTGGTGGCTGCATTCGTTTTCTTTTCTTAGGCTTTTTCTTCGTGTTTTCACCTGGTGATCTGGCCAGTAACATACCTCCTGTATTATACAGACTATTTGGATGAAAGCAGCTCAGGGGGCACATTTGGACAGCAACATTGTCAGTCTGGTGGGGGAGGAGTGTTAGATGCATTAGCAGATTTAAATACACTAACATATTGAAGCTGAATACTGAAGCTAATACTTTATAATCAGTTATCGCAAACTGTTTTTTTTTTTGGATAAAGGATTTACTTTGAAGTGGAGCTCCACCCAAAAAGGGAAGTTCCACTTTAAGTACTGCCACGTTTGGGGAGCATTTACCCGATTTGACAGGTACCCGCTCCAATGTCCGCTGTGACCGCCTAGGCAAGGGGTAGGCAACCTGTGGCTCTCCAGCTGTTGCAGGACTACAAGTTCCATCATGCCTCTGCAAGTCATAGCTGTAACTGTCAGTTTTGTAGTGTTGCAATGCTTTATGGGAAATGTAGTTCCACAACAGCTAGAGAGCCGCAGGTTGCCTACCCCTGGCCTAGGCGATTGCAAGCAGAAATTGTCCTCCCTCCCCGTAGTCTTCTGGGACATGTAACAAGTCCCAGAAGACTACAGGACCATTCACAAGGTGCAACACTTCTCGTGCATGCGCAGTGGGCACCCAGCTGTGAAGCCACAAGCTGTCACAGCCGGGTGCCCACACTTAGGATGCCGGCACTGGGGAGCGAGGATGGCCGGTGAAACCAGATGCAGTGAATACACCGCTGGATCATGGGACAAGTAAATAGCTGTTTTTTAAAAGTCAGCAGCTACAGTTTTTGTTGCTGTTGACTCCACTTTAATAAATAAAGGATGATCATTATAACCACTTGCCTACAGGGCACTTATACCCCCTTCCTGCCCAGGCCAATTTTCTGCTTTCAGCGCTGTTGCACTTTGAATGACAATTGCGAGGTCATGCAACACTGTACCCATATGACATTTTTATCATTTTTTTCACACAAATAGAGGTTTCTTTTGGTCATATTTAATCGCCACTGGGTGTTTTGTTTTTTGCACTATAAACAAAAAAATAGCAAAAAATTGAAACAAATAGAAGTTTTTCTTTGTTTCGATTATAAAATTTTGCAAACAGGTAATTTTTCTTCTTCGCTGATGTGTGTTGCTGAGGCTGTACTGATAGGCAGCACTGATAGGTGGCACTGATGAGGTGGCACTGAAAGGCAGCACTGATGGGCACTGATAGGCGGCACTGATAGGCAGCACTGATGGGTGGCACTGACTGTTGACACTGACTGGCGGCACTGCTGGGCACTGACTGGCAGCACTGCTGGGCAGCACTGATGGGGGGCACTGGTGGGGGGCACTGCTGGGCACTGGTGGGTGAAACTGCTGGGCACTGATCATCAGTGCCCTGATGATCGGTACTGATCCGTTCGCTGACAATTGTCGGTTATCGGCAATGCTTAACTTATGCTGTGACAGTGTGAGGAAAGTACAGCCAATAACCGGCAACTGCATTTACCGATGATCTTCCTTGCAGTGGTTGTAAGTGATGAGTAAGGTTAGTATTAAGTACCCCCTAAAACACTGTTGGTCAATTCACACTAAAATGCTGGTAGTCAGTAGTCAGCGACCTCTTAAAAGGTGGTTCTCAGTGCTCAATAGCCTAAATGGTGGTGGACAGTACCCCCTACAATATTAATGTTCAGCAGTCAGTGCCTTCTGCAGCGTTGCTGGTCTGTGCCCGATGCAGCATTTGTAGTCAGTGTCCCCTGCAGTACGGTGGTTAGTATCCTCTGCAGCAATGGTGTCCAATGTGCTCTGCAGCACAGATGATCAGTGCCCCCTGTAACATTGGTGTTAAGTGGTAACTGCCTCCTTCATCACAGCCCTATGGCTAACTGGAGCTTAGAAAGACAAATCATTGGTGCTGATTGGTAATTACATATGACAAGATGCAGAGGGGCCATGTCTCTGAATGCAGAAACTACGTAGGTAGCATCGAGAGAAATATCACTTCACCTGGTGCTATCTGCGCTTTTCTTTCTAACCACACTTTGTCCATAGGACTAACTGGGCTCTCAATCTCTATTCCACACAAGTAGTAAAAATGGAAATGAGCGAGCGCCAATACTAATTAGCAGCTGATACACACCAAAGGCAACCAAAAAACCTCACAACATATAATTCAATAAAAGATGCAGTGCTTAACACATAAAACATATAAAACTGATCCAATTGTCCAAATATGTGACAAAATAGTACTGCATATATATGTAAAAAAAAAGAGCTGTGCACGTGACAAATAGATATATCTCATAAACCACTGATCAAAGTGCAAAATATTTGAATAGTCCAAATGATGGATCAAACATGCTTATTGTGATCAAAGGTATCTTCAAGTGGGTGATCTGTGCTTCACAACCGCTCAGGTGATGTGTCAGAGAAGTTAAAAATGCACACTCACCAGAAGAAAGATCATGAGATCATACGTGCACGAGCACGTATTCATGAGGGGTATGCGCATACCCCTCATGAACTATTGGCGCTTTATAAATACTGTATAATAATAATATAATAATGAATACGTGCTCGTGCACGAAAGGCGTAGAGGATGAGCCATACGCGGTGACGTCACTCTGCCGCCGAGACCACGAGGAGGTCCGGCGGCCATCTTTACTATTGTACATGGTCAGTGCTCCTTTCTTATGCTGCATGTATTATGATACCTACCCTTAAACGGTTTTGGTTACCTAAATACTACACTATGGGCATCCTTCTTTCTGGCTCCTTGTGAGCCAATACCTTCCTAGAGCCCATACCCGGAGGACGCTAGCTGTGGGACAGAGTACCAGGGAGGAAGGAGATCCTTTGGACCTGACCAGGCTGACCACCTCTTAAAAGGGAACCTCTGGCTGTATTTGATATACCATGCGCTTCATGATCTTTCTTCTGGTGAGTGTGCATTTTTAACTTCTCTGACACATCACCTGAGCGGTTGTGAAGCACAGATCACCCACTTGAAGATACCTTTGATCACAATAAGCACGTTTGATCCATCACTTGGACTATTCAAATATTTTGCACTTTGATCAGTGGTTTATGAGATATATCTATTTGTCACGTGCACAGCTCTTTTTTACATATATATACATTACTATTTTGTCACGTATTTGGACAATCGGATCAGTTTTATATGTTTTATGTCTTAAGTGCTGCACCTTTTATTGAATTATCTATTCCACACAAGATTGTTTAAAAACAGTCTATAAAATACATTGTAATCGAGAGACACAGCTTTTACCATGACCACAGGAAAGTCAGAATTAGACCACAGGAAAGTCAGAATTACTCTGGACAAAGAGAGATGTCGCTAGACTGGGACACCAGACAGGAGATTTTGTTTATGTGCCCCAGGTTCCAGGGTCTAGCAAAGTCTATGCTGTGGAGAGCTAGGTTTCTTAAAGTGTTCCTAAACCCAGGACCCTGCATTCACTATATCTGGTCTCCCACAGTACACAGAACATGGAAATGCAATTATTGTAGTAAATATAAACTGCTAAATACCTTTTCGCATCAGCAGATAGAGCAGTTTTGTTACTTCTAGCAGTGTCCAGCAGAGCACTAGTTAAAGCTTGTAGGAGAAAAATGGAAAGGATCGTTTCCTGTATATTCCCCCCCCTCCGCCCCTCCTGTGCAAGCATAAAACAGAAGGTGACATCTCAACACATCTCAACTATCGGAATATACAGCCCCCATACTGCAAATTTAAATGCTGTCCTGAGCCCCCTATAAGACTCCTGTCCTGTACCTGCCTTTCTTGTGGGTTAGCCGCGCTTTGCTATAGACTACTATTATATCTTGCGGGTGTGGTGCACTTTTTGAAAATTCAGTTTTTTTATGCTTTTAGAAAGTGCAACAAAAACACAGGATATGACAGAAGTGCGCTTCCCTGGTTTGAAGTCGAGGGCCACATCAGAAGGCTTTGAGGGCCAGGTTGAGCACAGGTTTATGATTGCCCAACATAAACCCAGTGAATGTAATTTTGCAACAAGCAAGTGCTGAATGAGAGATTGTCAGGATGGAAGTGGTGGACTACGATTCATCTTTGATATCTGTCTATGGATTGCCTATACATACAGTACTTACACGTGAAGGGAAATGATTGCCACCTGTGCAGTCACACACCTTTTCTTTTTTTACACAATAGGCACATAATCGCAACAGCTGTGGTAGTTTTCATTGTTAGTCACACACATGTACAGCAAGGGTATTAACAGGCAGTCTTTTCCTGCAATCACTGTGCATTCTAGGGGTATATTTATAATGACCAGGTGAATGCAGATTCACCACTTTCTGGGCAGCAACAGGACTTGCATTTACAATGCAGCAAATGCTCCAACTAAATCTGTGACTGTTGCCAACTGTTTTGTAATTGGTGATAATGCAGATTCTGTAAATCTAGAAAGGGTTAAAGTGTTACTAAACCCAGGACACTGCATTTACTATATCTGGTCTCCCACAGTACACACAACATGGAAATGCAATTATTATAGTAAATATAAACTTTGGGCATTCTTTCATATCATTGATCAGAATTTTAATTTATTCTGGCCATTGAAATAAATACACACGTAGGTTTTAGACATGCTTACGTGCTATTAGGTGTGTACTCTTTGGTCTTTGCCATGGTAGAGAGTTTGGAATCTGATTGCTTGATTGCTCCTGTAGACAGGTGTCTTTTATACAGGTAACAAAATTAGATTAGCAGCACTCCTTTAAGAGACTGCTTCTAATCTCAGCTTGTTACTTGTATGAAAGACACCTGGTAGCCAGAAATCCTGCTGAACGATAGGGGATCAAATACTTATTTCCCTCATGAACATGCAAATCAGTGCATAATTTGTTAGACATGCATTTCTTTTGAATTTTTTTATTGATATTCTGTCTCTCTGTGTTACAATACACCTACCATTCGATTTTTAGACTGATCATTTCTTTGTGAGTGGGCAAACATTCAAAATCAGCAGAGGATTAAATACTTATTCCCTTCACTGTATGTATATATATATATATATATATATATATATACTGCATATTGAAATGCGTTTTCATTACAAAATATATGAAGAATATTTTTAAAAATACATTTCAAATATACTGTATGTCTTTAAAAATACAAATCTACATTTTTTGGAATGCATTTACAAATATATGTAAAAATATATGTTAAAATATAAGAATATTTTTAAAATATATTTCAAATATATTTTTCTTCCATGTGGGTAGATCCGGCTCTGGGTAAATGGTCTGTCTCAACTCGCTAACTGCCACATCTTCAGGACAACTTGTTCTGTTGAAAAACAACAGACTTACTGACAGGATTACAAGAAGAAAATAAACACAAAGAAAGTCTAATAAAGCCAAAAATTGGTAGGCTGCAATACAATAAAAATTATATTATAATAATATAATATAATATAATAATCTGAAGACACTCTGGTAGGTTAATTGCCTTCTGCCTAAATTGGCCCTAGTATGTTTATATATGAATGTGAGATAGGGACTGTAGATTGTAAGCTCCTTGAGGGCAGGGACTGGTGTGTGTGTGTGTCTGTGTATGTGTATATATATATATATATATATATATATATAAAAATATATATCTTATGTGATATATATACTGTGTATGTGTGTGTGTATATGTATATATATATCTTATGTGATATATACTGTGTGTGTGTATATGTATATATATATATA